AACATCTGGAGGCTTCCAAGTAGGATAAGGTTGGGCAAGACCCTTTGGCCAATGCAGGCTCCTCTCATATCTCTCTGCTTCTTACGGCCAAGAAACTAGCCTATCTCACTGGACATCGAACCATCTATCCTCGTGCAACCACTAGCCCCACCACATATTTCTTCCCCTGAATCTTTCTACATCTAACCATCTTCCCCACCTTTCATTCTCAAAGGTACTTCTTCTTCACATGTGGGGCAATGCTTTAAAGGATTTTGTCATTGTTGTTAGGGTTGCAACATTGACAACATTTATCTTTTGCTAGACTAAGGTGATGCCGTTTTGCTACTAGCATGCTTCCAAGCCTGTGGCGGTTAGGGGAGGGTTGTTTTGTTCTGTCTTTATGGTAGAATTTCTTTATGTTTATGTTTTAAACATGCCGTAAGTCACTTGGAGACCTTAAGTTAACAAGCAACTGGCAATTTCAAATAGTACAGTGGTACTTTGGTACTCTTTTTTTAAAAAAAATAATATTTATTAAAGTTTCAAACAAAATTACAATAATACAAAGAAAAAAAGAAAACAGAAAATACAAAAAACAGAAAAAATAGAATAACAATTAAAAACAAATCAGTCTTTCCATATCTCACACCTCCCTTTTTTGCATCCCAGTTCAGTTAATTAATTCAGCAAATCCTTTCCCTTTTTGTTCTTATCTTAATCCTTTATCTTAGTATATTATTACTTCAAATTCCCATCTATTAACAATCCATTTTTACATAGACCTTAATAACATTGCTGCTAAAACCACTTAACTTCATTCCAACATCATTCTAACATTCATTAATTTTGCAATATTTCTGTAAATAGTCTTTAAATTTCTTCCAATCTTCTTCCACCGACTCTTCTCCCTGGTCTCGGATTCTGCCGGTCATCTCCGCCAGTTCCATATAGTCCATCACCTTCATCTGCCATTCTTCCAGTGTGGGTAGATCTTGTGTCTTCCAATACTTTGCAATAAGTATTCTCGCTGCTGTTGTAGCGTACATAAAGAAAGTTCTATCCTTCTTTGGCACCAATTGGCTGACAATGCCCAGGAGAAAGGCCTCTGGTTTCTTCAGGAAGGTATATTTAAATACCTTTTTCATTTCATTATATATCATCTCCCAGAAAGCCTTAATCCTTGGGCACGTCAGTGGTACTTTGGTTCTCGAAAAGCTTAGTTGTCGAACAAATCGGTTCCCAAATGCCAAAAACCCAGAAGTGCTCTGGTCTGTGAATGTTTTTTTGGAAGCCAAACATCCAAGGCAGCTTCCAATTGAGTGCAGGAAGCTCCTGCAGCCAATTGGAAGCCACGCCTTGGTTTTCGAACGGTTTCTGGAGTCGATTGCACTCCGGAATGGATTAAGTTCGAGAACCAAGGTACCACTGTAACAGCAACAAGTGCTCTGTGGGGTTTACAGTATGGATTTGCATCCTGGGAGTTCACTCACTTTTCTTGGTGACACCCCTGCCCCTATCATCCAGACAGGGGTGCCAGGTAAGCCCCATCCCATATAATTGATCACAAGACATGGCACACACACACACACCATTTGAGTAGCAATGCACTTCAACTTTGGGGTGATGGGGAAGACCCTTCCAATATTTTATTGGGAGTCAAAGGGACCTTGGCTCCTAGTGAAGGATGTGAGGACAGGTGCCCCACCTAGTCACCCCAGGCCTCAAAACTGTCCAAATTTCCTTTCTCTCTTCTAAAAATCCACAGCTAAAGTTTTCCTCTGTTTTCTCACAAGATGCTGTGGCAAAGGCAAAATGTTACTTTTATCAGTACAATTAGGCTTCAAAAAGCTAATAATGAATAGGCTCTGTTCAAAGCAAGCCTGAGAACTGACTCTTATCTCATTCGGTTGTAACACATCTTTGGACACGCTGAACGCAAGGCTTCTCATCCCCCTTTCCTGGGAAGAGTCCAAAAGAGTCCCAAGACAGGAGCTTTCTGTTCATGCTCAGGGGAACTCATGGGGCAGGACTCTTGAGGAGGAGGAGAAGGGGAGGGAACTAGAAGGGGAATATATGCTCTGTGCAAATGACTGTGAACTCGTGCTTGTTTGTGAATCTATCACACTTGCTCCTTCTACCAGCCGGATGGTAGAAATAAAGCTTTTTCTCTGAAACTATTCCTTGAGTGTCTGTTGACTCCCATCTCCCTTTCCCGGGCGTAATACTCTTCCCAACCCAAGGGCAAAGCCTCATAAGGCTACACTAGGAACTGGCTCCTGTGCACCCAGACATGCAAAAAAAGGGGGGGGAGTTCTCCTCTTTCCCCTGTTGGGACTCAATCTCCCACCTCTTGTTTCCCAGCCACCTGCTGCTCTCAGTATGTGTCTGCAGAATAAGGTTACCAGACATCCCCGTTTCCCAGAAACAGTCCCCAGATTTACAAATCAGTCCCCTTACAAAATCCTATGATTCCGACTCATTTCAATGAAGTGTCCCCGGATTCATTGAAAAAAATCTGGTAACCTTACTGCAGAAGCCCTAGTTGTCCCATTCTAACTCCCCACCCATGACTTATCCAACAAATGCCTTTTTCTCCCTGGGTGAGCCTTGAATACTTATACCAGGTGAGTGATATGTGCTGGAAGCCCCAAAAGCTAGTTGCATGGTTTTTTGTGTAGACTCCCCACCCTCTGCTTTGTGCATTGTGCTGCAAAACAGTGACTCCGCAGAACAGCAGATGAAGGATTGGCCACTCTTAGAATCCAGCGAACTTACACAAAGGTCCTGGGGGAAAGGCCCATGTGAGTCTATGGGCAAGATGGTGGTGTTGGTCACTGCTGTTTTCAGGACTCAACTAGGGATGGGCTGCAGCTCAGGAACAGAGCCTCTGCTCAGCATGCAGAAGGTTCCAGATTCAGTTCTCGGCATCTCCAAATAGGGCTGGGGAAAACTCTGTCTGAAACCCTGCAAAGCCACTGTCAATCAGTGTAGACAGCACTAAACTGGACGGAACAATGGTCTGACCTGTTATAAGGGAGCTTTCTATGTTCCTGCATCATTTACCAAACGTTTCTATGCTTTAAGTTTCCAATTTTAAAATGTTTTTCCTTTATAACGGCAATAAATTTATAAACAAGGTTAAAACCTTTTTATTTGCTCAGGTGTTTGGGCCACGGACATTTGGGTGTGGTTTGATTGACATAATCACAGCTGGTTTTTGCCGTAGTTTTTATTATGATATTGTAGTTATAAAAATGTCTTTTGTTCTATGGTTTATTTGTACTTTGCCATTAGCCACCCTCTGATTGAGGTTACAGGAAGGAGATGATATGATAGAAAAGCACTGAGACAAACAAACCAAGGCAATTATCCACCTTGTGGCCACATAGCTGCTAGATGACAGTAAAGCTGACCCATATTACATGATTTTATAAGGTTAACTGGAGTGGGTGTGGCAAACTGGTTAATTTGGGTCTGTTCATCTCAGTGGGATTACTCTGAGTGGAACTTAGCCTAATCATACAGAGAATTACAGCTGGACAGCTCCCCTGAATATCTAGGCCTAGGTAAGTTTGCATAAGGGACACGGGTGGCCCTGTGGTCTAAACCACTGAGTCTCTTGGGCTTGCCGATCAGAAGGTTGGCAGTTCGAACCCCCGCAATGGGGTGAGCTCCTGTTGCTCAGTCCCAGCTCCTGCCTACCTAGCAGTTCAAAAGTACGCCCAAAAGTGCAAGTAGATAAATAGGTACCGCTCCTGTGGGAAGGTAAATGGCATTTCTGTGCGCTGCTCTGGTTTTGGTGTTCCATTGCACCAGAAGTGGCTTAGTCATGCTGGCTACATGGCCCAGATAAACTGTTTGCTGACAAACGTCGGCTCCCTGGGCCTGTAAAGCGAGATGAGCGCAGCAACCCCAGAGTCTGCAATTGGACTTAACTGTCAGGGGTCCCTTACCTTTACCTTTTTAAGTTTTCATAGGCAGGCAGGTAGGAAGTTCACCCTCTTCTTTTTCACTTCATGATAATCTTGAGATGCTAGTGGAATATCCAATAACATTGTAATCATTTCATTTTTATTATTCTTGTTGGTTTCAGGCATTTTTATAATTTTATTTTTTTAGTGATCATTAATGAATCAAGCATCATATTACCCCTGTATCTTAGAGAGAAGTTCAAGCATACAGATGGAAGTGAGGCCATAGAATTTCCCTTTTTAATTTAAAATCTAAAACGTGCTGGAAATGTAAAGAAAAAGAGGATGCTTTTTATTATTTGTATGGGACGCAGGTGGAACTGTGGGTTAAACCACAGAGCCTAGGACTTGCCGATCAGAAGGTCGGAGGTTCGAATCCCCGTAACGGGGTAAGCTCCCATTGTTCAGTCCCTGCTCCTGCCAACCTAGCAGTTCGAAAGCATGTCAAAGTGCAAGTAGATAAACAGGTACCGCTCCGGCGGGAAGGTAAAAGGTGTTTCCGTGCGCTGCTCTGGTTCACCAGAAGCGGCTTAGTCATGCTGGCCACATGACCTGGAAGCTATACACCGGCTCCCTCAGCCAATAAAGCAAGATGAGCGCCACAACCCCAGAGACGGCCATGACTGGACCTAATGGTCAGGGGTCCCTTTACCTTTACCTTATTATATGTGGTGGCTATGTAAGATGATAAAAGACTTCTGGGAAATTATAATGAATTGAAAAAAAATGTTGAAAATAACTTTTCCTAAGAAACCAGAAGCTTTTCTTTTAGGTATTATAGGACCAGAGATCCCGAAGGACCAGACAAAACTATTTATGTACAAGACCATGGCTGCATGGACTCTGTTAGCCCAGAAATGGAAAGCTGGTACAACTCCAAACAAGGAAGAGTGGCAGGCCAAATTTATGAAATATGCCAAGATGACGAAGCTTACAGAAAGAATTAGTCACCAGGAAGAGTAGGTCTATAAAATAAAGAATGGGGAATGTTTATAATTTATTTGAAAAGCTATTGTAAACAATTACATACATTGGTAGGATTGACAGAAAACTTGTAGTAAAAAAATTGAACTAAGGATTGACAAAGGATTTATAAAAATAGTGTTATGAAAGAGGTGCAGAGGGGGAAATCATTACATTAAGATCCACAATCGGGTGGGGGGAGTCAAAAAGGATTATATATGAAATACATAAACATATTATCCTTTTTGTTTAAATGAATATAATTCATTTGTTTATGTAAAATAGAAAATGCAAAAAATAATTATTATAAAATAGTAAAAACAAAATCACTCCCAGTTCCAGCTTCCATCGATTCCTGCTTGGTGTTGCCATGTTCTGATACTGCCAGACACCGCAGTGGAAAATAACACATGGGCCCTTGCACACTTTGGGAGATCTGAGGTCGCCTTCCCTGTAAAGCCTTTGGTCTGCTTATGGCTTTTCATTAGCCACATGGGAAGGAAGGACTATTCAAATGTGGTTCCCCTGGACCCTTTTGCTGGAGGCAAATCAAGCAAAGTTCATCGCAAGGAGGAGCCCAACCAAGGCTCGAAGGAAGAGTCCAAAGAATTGTGGAGCGGCACGAACCATGAAAGAAGCAAGCTGGCAATGACCTCTTGCAGTCACAACAAGCATGGAAGTATGGAAAACGCCTTCATAATGAGCGTCGCAGAAAGCTTTGTTCACACAGCCCTTGAAGGCAATTGCAATCACCAAGGCAGGAGATCCTGCAGAGACAAAGGACGGAGAAGGCAGTCAGCACCAGAGGAATCACAGCATCCCATGATTAGGAAGAATTTGCTGCAGTCCACCTTATTCAGCAAGCCAAATTAATTTGCACCTATCCCAGTCGGTGACCCTGAAAGCTTAATCGTGGCCGGTTGGAAAACTGAGGAGTCGTTTCCTTCTGCTTTCCCTGCAAGAAGGATCCTGTCTCTGCTACCAGAGGGGCAGGGTCAATTCCCTTTGTGATGGAGGCTGCTGAGGAGTCCTGTCTGTACATGCGCCAGTTCCCCGCTCCCTGTGAAACTGGATGGGTAGTCTGTCAGCAGAGTCTGGCACTCTTTGGAGAACTTGAGCAGTGCAGCTCTAGCACCTCCAAGTCCATCCTAGTGAGAGGCTGGCCCAGAAGCCACAGCCACCAGCCCAGCGTAGACTTTAGCATCCTCAGGGCCTGGTACTCTGGGCTCCACATGCTTGGCTGCTCCTGCATTGCAGGGAATTAGGCTAGGTGACCCCTTGGGTCCCTTTCAACTCCACGATTCTATGAGTCCATTGGAAATTTTGCAATTCTCTAAAAGTTGTGATACAGGCCTCATCTAAGAAAAACACATCAGCATGTGGGTGTGGGGAGCACGCTTTAAAAATACATTGTTTAATGAAATTTAAAAGTGTGTGCATTGAGATAAAATGTTATTGTGAGTGAAAAGGTAATGTGCATTCAATTATCACTATTTGCATTTTGAAAAAAATAACAGACCAATGCGGAAACAGACAGCCTTAAGAATAAATACACGCAGAATGGAAATGGACGCAAAATATAGACCCAGAATGGAAATGGACCCAAAATATAGACGCAGAATGGAAATGGACCTGATCCATCTACCTGAAATAGCTTGTTAAGGACATTACATCATCTGGCTTGGGGGAACTGGAGAGTGCCTAGTTTCTCTTAGAGTCCCTGCTATGCATGGCGACAGAAAAAGCTGCCATGTTTAAAAAGGACTCAACTTTGCCTGCAAATGAAGAACTGCAAGTTTACATGCAGTGCCCTCCTGATTCTTCCTGCAGCTTGAATTCAAGCATGGAAGATTCTTCCTTTTCAGCCACAGATTGAAGTTACTTCATGTCACATGATGCCAGGCAATATGACAGATGGGTGACTCCACCCACCCATCAAAGTGACCTGTTGAGGGGCTGACCATTTCTGGATCCAGACCTTAAGCCAAATCCAGTTCCCCAGCCCTGCCTTACAGGGGTCTGAGATGAACCCTTTTCAAGATTCTGGTTGAATGTGTGAGGATTTAATCTGTGGCCCCAACATTCCCATGTATGCCAGCCTAGCCTCTTCCTCTCCCAAGATTCACTGAGTTTGGCTTCTGTTTTTGCTTAGCATTGCCAAGTTTTGATTGTTCAATTCTGTAAAAGAGAGGCAGACAATCTGTGGCAAGGGGAGGGTTGTTTTTTTTGAGAATTTTGGAAGAGAGCTTGGGAGGGATTTGGGGAAGGCACATGCCACACTAATAGCCTCATGTACACCTGATGCCCCTATGTATTTGACCAGAATAGCTCCATAAGAAAGAGCCTCACAAACACCCTGGTAGATATGTTCTGTACCAAAGGAAATTTCTGGACTTGAGTGTGGTCTGGGTGAAAGGAGGTGGGAATGAGGAAGAGATGAATTACCAGCAAATATAGGGGATGGAACCTCTGCGAAGCCAGACACATCGGAACAATAGTGCTGGTCTCCCTCGCAGTGGGCAACCGCTTGAGCAAAGCATCGTTGTCTGTTGATAGCAAAGCACCCTCGACATTTCCTCCCGTTGGCTGTCATGTTTACATCTGGCACTGTGAAGGGGATAAACAGAGAGAGTCAGGTTAGAAGGAGAACAGGCAAAAGTGGCAAGGAGGGAAATCGCAGGCATCAAATGCTTGCTCAACCAGACTAGTTTCTCAGTCCCTTCCATTCTAGGAGAGATTATGTCCACGATCATTATGTCAGCTTCTGCCTCATTTGCTTTGTTACTTGGGAATATCATAGCATTCATAGCAGGGATGGGGAACTGGTCTCCCTCAAGCTGTTGCTGTACTCCAGAAACAAGGCCACAAACCATGTTTTACAGAGAAGAGTCCACAAGAGTGGCAATGACCTACCTATAGTCTCTGAGGTTAAACCTCTTCAGGGAACTGGTTGAATGTGAGAGGACTCAAACTGTGGCCCCAACATTCGCAGGCATGATGGCCTAGACCACAAAAGTCTGAGGGAGATTATTATTATAGCAGGCTGGTGAGTATTCTCCCTTCAGTCAGAATCCTATGTAGGGTTCCTAATTACATTCAGTTGAATGCCATTTGAGCCCTCTTTAGACATTTGCACTGACTGTGTGGAGGTTGAGAGAGGACACACTGGAACAGTGCACGTGGGGGTCCCTGATGGAGGTGCTGGTGAGCTAGGTCTCTCCCAGACCCTAACACACTTGGAGTCCTCATATCATTATCAGAGGCAGGAATAGGGCTGCAGCCTTGTCAGCCTTGTGGGAAACTGCTATTGCACTCATTAATGCGGTTAGAATTTGGAGTGCAGGTGGCCCTGTGGTCTAAACCACTGAGCCTCTTTGGGTTGCTGGTTGTAAGGTTGGCGGTTCGAATCCATGCCACAGGGTGAACTCCCGTTGCTCTGTACCAGCTCCTGAAAACATAGCAGTTCGAAAGCATACCTGCTCGAGTAGATAAATAGGTACCACTGTGGTGGGAAAATAAATGGGCCCACACACATGAAGGCATTGGGGGCCATGTCATTGTGCATGCCACAGTCCCCATGCACATATGTATCCACCCAAATTCCTGAAGAAGACAATGGTCTCATCACATTGCCTTTCAGAATGCTGCTTTCAGAAATTTTAACGGCTGCTACTTATGATAACTTTGCATTGCACCTACTGTCTAAGGCAGCATGTTCTGAATAAGGATGGGTGTAGCTGTCAATTTCAAATTATCTCTATTTCTTATTTTTCCAATCTTAATTTCAGTTCCCCACATGTCCACATCAGTTCTGAATTTATTTTAGCAATGCATAAACTATTATTGCGCTAGCCAAAGGCCATGGCATCACTCAAAGAAAGGAAAACAAAAAAGGGGGGAGGAATCAGTAGTCACTACATATGCAGTAGAACCATGATAGAATCCACCAAAAATTCCTTGTTACACATTCTCAAATAAAATGTGCAATTTTTTTTAAAAAAAAACTTTCATTTTAGTGCAGATTTCTGCTGATGTATTTTATCTCATAAAATATTGCACCACTTGGTTGAGGGGGGGACAGGACCTAAAAGTGCTTTACAAAAAGATAAAGCCATAAAATCAAGGGGGGGGGATACAACCCTACTTTAAAACAAACTAAAGTAGATTAAAACTACCTCAATTTTCTAAGCATCTGGGTAGATGCCGCTGTTTTCAGCAGGCACTGTCAGGAATACAGTGAGTTTGCCTGCTTGATCTCAAGATAGAGCTATGCAGCTTATTACAACTAGAATGCAGGAGTTTATGTGCAAATAAGTAGCAAGTGCCCTTTGTCCTCAGATACGATACGATATGGTAATTTTTATTTTCCGGGTTTCAGGATGAACTGCCAGGGGCATATGCAGAGAGAATGAAATAGCATAAAAAATAAATTCCCACCTCAAAACATTAGCTGGCACCCCTCCTAACTACAGAGAGGAGTTGGAGGGTAACAAATGATGCAGTTTAAGGTGATATGATACACAGTTTGGACAACATAAGGGTCTATAAATGCATAAAATACATGGTGGAGCAGCCTTATTGCAGCCATTCCCCTTGCAACAGGAAACCTTGGTGAACACTGTTTCTCCTTCAGCAAATTTAATGGCTGTGAAGCCTTCATAGCAGCTAGTGGATTGCTTGCAGGTTTTCAGCACGTACTGTTGTCCTGCAGAGAGAGAGAGAGAGAGAGAGAGAGAGAGAGAGAGAGAGAGAGAGAGAGAATTTTAAATCGAAGGGGAGGGCATGATGTGGACAGGCTCTGATCAGTGCTGTAGGGGTAAATGTTTAAGTGAAGGAGCTCATAATGCCAAAAGCAGGCATCTGTGTTGTTCTAATATATCTTTATATTATATATATATATTGGGGAGGGGGGCACTGAGCTTTGGTTCAAATCTAGGCACTTTGTGAACAGGCTGCTTTGGCTAAAGGTGTTCCATCGATTGCCTGCTTTGACTTACCTATCTGAATCCACTTCATTTTGCCTTTCCCAATTTACTATTGAATTATATATATACCGGTGTGTGTGTGTGTGTGTGTGTGTGTGTGTGTGTGTATATACACACACACACACACACACACACACACACACACACACATACTGGTATATATATAATTCAATAGTACACAAACAGCAATAACATCTCACTTTCAACAGAAGTGGGTAACATTTGCAGGCATGACCGCTCCTGCAGAGCAGATAGTGCCTGTCAAATTATAGGCAAATAAGTCTGGGGACATTTGTGCTACACATCTTTCCTTTCCTTTCCTTTCCCCTTCCCTTCCCTTTCCCCTTTCCCCTTCCCTTTCCTATTTTAAAAGGGATTATATCTGGATGGAATTTGCAGGCAAAGGCTACCCTTTCCAAGGACACGAATCCTGGCAAATTTTGGAAGGATAGCTGCAGTAGTCCCCCCCCCCCGAAGGGCAGCTGTTATAGCTTTGGGATCTGCTCAAACATCTCCCACTTTTACTATTGGGAAGTAAAAATGGCTATAACTTTCCTGCATTTGACAGAAGTGGATGAAATTTGCTGACATCATAGCCCTGAAGGGAAAAGGCCTGCCAAAGTACAGGCAAATAAGTTCAGGGGCATTTGTTCTGGACACTTCTAAAATAATCATCATCATCATCATCATCATCATCATCAAGGAGCCATATCTAGCTCGGGTGTCATTTCAAAGTGCCACCACACTGAATGCCCAATTCTTATATTCTGCAGAACAGACTTTCTGATAAGACAGCCCTCTTCTGCAGATCGCAGTGTTGCATTGGGTATATTATAGGTGAGACTATATTTAAGGTATCTTAGTCCCAAGCTGTGAGCTAAGAACCCTTTAATATCACAGCTGCAGAATTAGGACCAGTGGTCACTGAACCCTGTCAGTGGTTGTTGATCTCTTGCACATACCTCTAATGTTGTATGATTGAACAATGGCACAACTGTCAAAAATAGATGAACATTTCTTCAGAGTTCCAGTGCAATCCAGTTCAATGCCATTACAAATCCAGCACTCCAGAGACAGCCCTAAAAGCAGGAAAGGAAGAAGAATCATCAAGATCCATTATTATTGTTTGTTACCTTTTCTAAGGTTAATATTTGAATTGGCAGTACTTAACCACATAGCATCATTACATTATTTATATTTTAATAGCAAGCTGCTTCCAAGTCCAGGTGAGCAATAGCTCCTAAAAGTGCAGGCACAGTCAGGTGCCAGACACTGAAGTGCCAGACTAAAGAACCAGGTCTCTCTGGGATTGAGGGAAGCTCCTCCTCATGAGTAGATCAAACTCCACAGGTGATGTGGGCCTTTGGTTTGGTCAATTGTGCAGAGGGCCACCAGGATTATCAAGGTTCTAGAAACCAAGCCTTAGGATAAACGGTTGAAAGAGCTGGGTACATTTAGCCTGGAAAATAGGAGAGTGAGAGGAGATATGATAACCATCTCCAAATATCTCAAGGGCTATCACATGGAGGATGGAACAGGCTTGTTTTCTGTTACTCAGGAGGGTAGGTCTCAAACCAATGGCTTCAAGTTACAAGAAAGGAGATTCCAACTAAACATCAAGAAAAACTTTCTGGTAGTAAGAGCTGTTCAGCAGTGGAACAGACTCCTACAAGAAGTGGTGGACTTTCCTTCCTTGGGGGTTTTTAAGCAGAGGTTGGATGCCCATCTGTCATGGATACTTTAGCTAAGATTCCTGCTTTGCGGGAGGTTGGACGATGACCCTTGGGGTCCCTTCCAACTCTAGAATTCTATGCTTCTATGATTGGCCGGTTTGTTGTAAGTTGCTTCAGGCAAGAGAAAGTGGCTAGAAATTAATAACAATCATCATCCAGATTGTCTGCTGCCATCTGCTGCCATTTAGTTGCTTTGCTATGGGTGGGGCACAGATGGCTCATGGCCAAAGAACTCCAGTTGCCGGAGTGTTGGAACAATATCTTTGCACAAGTTGCCGGACATGTGACTGAGCTTTCCTGTGTTTTGACCTTGGGCTTGTTGTAACCGAAGCAAGACCACCTCTGCCTCCATTGTAACTGACGAATGCCATCTTGAGCCAGACAGCTGCCATTTTGATATATCATAATCATTTATTCTTACTGTAATCAGTAGGCTAGTTTCTATATATTATCCTACACTCTGTCCTCCATTCAGGGAAGAAGTGAAGCTGGGCCAATGAGGGTATAGCCATGGCTGATTTAGGGCCAAGTAGGCAGTTCTCCATGGATGCGGGTGGTGCTGTGGTCTAAACCACTGAGCCTCTTGGGCTTGCCAATCAGAAGGTTGGCAGTTCGAATCCCCGCGACGGGGTGAGCCACATGACCCAGAAAGCTGTCTGAGGACAAACGCCGGCTTCCTTGGCCTGAAGTGAGATGAGCGCCGCAACCCCAGAGTAATTCATGACTGGACTTAACTGTCAGGAGTCCCTTTACCTTTAGGCAGTTCCCCTACACACAGTGCTGAATGGAGGGGGCACAAAATTGAGTAGATACATAGGTACTGCTCCAGTGGGAAGGTAAATGGTGTTTCCATGTGTGCTGCTCTGGTTTCAGTGTTCCATTGTGCCAGAAGTGGCTTAGTCATGCTGCCCAAATGACCTGGAAAAAATGTCTACGGACAAACGCCGGCTCCCTCAGCCTGTAAAGCAAGATAAGCACCGCAACCCCAGAGTCGTCCACAACTGGACTTAACAGGCAGGAGTCCCTTTTCCTTTAGGCAGTTCCCCTACACATGGTGCTGAATGGAGGGGGCACAAAATTGAGAAGATCCATAACTGAGAAGATTCATTTGGGGGCACCAAACATTGCCCAGACAGACACTGTTTTGATATATCATAACCAATTATTCTTATTGTAATCATGCTGAAATGCAATCTTACGAGAGGAACGTAAAAAGAGCAGGCTGCAATAAAAGGCGTAAAGGAAAGTTTTAGAAGCATGCTAAGGCATGGCCTTTAAACAGGGAAATGCCTAGCTAGCTGAGGTGTGGAAAGATCTGCCTTCACAGTTAAGCTGGCAGTAAGACAGTATCACTGGGTGCCTTGCATGACTATATGACTATAAAAATGGTGCGTAAACAGAGATCAGGGTTCCAGCCTCTGATCACTTTCCTTATTGCTTGCTGTAACCTTTCCTGCTCAAGCAAGAAATAAAACTTTGCTTTTGGAAAATTCTCAGGCATCACAACTCATTGCTAGTGAGTAAAGGACCCAACAGTGCAATTAACATTACGTGGGGTTTCCCCACATCAGAATATTTCTGGATCTTGCCTTTTATGTTGTTCCTGTGTTTTGAGTTTGGACCAGGACCAGAACTTGATTTCTTTGATTGCCCCTGTGTGTGAATTTGGGACTGCTGAATTTGGTGTCATTTGCAGTAGGACAGCACCCAAATTTTGTATGGTGGGTTCTTGAGATAAGCAGGGGGGCGGGTTGTCAGTGCTTGGGTACAATCTGATGCAGCTTTGAAACAAGATGGTGGGGTACACCTTTCAAAACTTCACTAATTCTAACTGCTAACTTAAAAACTGCACTGATCTGGGTTTCCTGAGCAATGCTGTGTAAGAGATTGCTAGTACTTTATATAATTATAAGCTCTGAGAGTGTCAAGCAAGCTAATTGACTCTTGTCCCTTTTTCAGGGTTTTATTTTTTCCAAAGTTGCACTCAACATTACATAGCTCCTATTAGAGGGAGTGGTGGTGATGGTGATGTATAGAACCATGCCTAGTTGTTCACCTTGTGACCCACAAACTATCATTTCCAATTATTCGCATTCATAAAAATGTCATTTAGCACAATTAGCTTTTTAGCTGCCCTGTTTTATATTGCATTTCAGAGCCCTGGTTTAATAATGTAGGGGTCCTGCTTTGCTTACCTTTACGTGCCAGGAATAGTAGCATTCCCATATTGAACCAGTGCAGGGTGAGATAATGCATCAATGGAGAGGTTTTCTGGGCTGTTGGTAATTTTGCAAAAGAGATAATTTGGGCTGATACAGCTTGTTATACAGTGCAGCAAAAAACAAACAAGAAGAAGAAAAAGGGAAAGCATGTAATAGATAAATCAGTTTGATTGAATTTCTGCTTTAGATTTGATGTAGGATTGGAAAGTGGGGGGTTTGGTAAGATGCAGGATGATGTGGAGTTGCCGGTGGGGAGGTTTTGACCCCATAGACTTAACTTCTTGGCACCAATATCACTGACACTTACCCAGACAGTGTGGTTGTGTGCCCAGCAGTTCCCAAGTGATTAATAAACGCACGGACACGAGTATTTAGGTTTATGGGATAAAATAGGCCACAACTTTATTGGTTACAGAAGTGAGCAGTTCAGCTTAGGCATTGGGTGAAGCCAGGCTATATCTCAACTCCTGTCCATCATCCAACTAAAGGTAAACCAACAATAGGGGGAGCCCTTGACTTATATCATAGGGCTAGTCCACATCCAGGCATCGAATAGAATCCACACACACCCCAGATCCCTTTAACAGGCTAACCTTATTGCAGAGAGGCAGGCGGAGGCTACAACCTCCCCTCCATTAAATGAAGGCTTAACCTCACAAAGTTGTTACCATTACAAGGTAGGTGAAAACCAAATGGCTGGAGCCAATTCACCAAGTGGAAAAATTCCTACCCGGCCTCAACAATATGGCAGCCAACATTTTTCCATAGCAAGGTTTTGTCGTACCATTCAGGGCATTGCAGCAGCAAGGTGTGGTTGCAGCAAGCATACCAAAAGGAGCACTGGATTGGCTGTGCCAATGTAGCCATGCCACCCAACCTCACCACTACTGTGCCCTCTGCACCATCCAGGTTCATGGCACCAGCCCTTCCTGACAATGACCTAAATCAGAATGCAAACTAAAGTTTTAACTTTGCATACATCTTTGTTGCAATATCAAGAACTGGTTTGTTTTTTACTATGCCCAAGTTGACTGAATGTCTAACATCTTCTTTCTCCAGTGCCTGGTATGGCAGCAGTATTTAGGTGAGGGAACAGGCTGAAGCTACACAAAATAATTCCCCCTCACCTAGCTCTGAGGTAGTGCTACATGGAGCATAGCTGTCAACTTTTCCATTTTTTTAAAGGGAAATCCTATTTAGAATAAGGGAATTTCCCTTTAAAAAGGGAAACCTTGACAGCTATGACATGGAGCTAGGGCAGAGAGCAAATGGAGACAGAAGTTGCAGAAGCCCTCATCAATGCCTGCTTCAGTCCCTGCCTGCTATATAGTGTTGTCATGTGTCCTCTTTTTCCAGGGCACATCCTCTTTTTCTGGGGTAAAATTTCTGTGTGGGTAGATTTAATTTTTTTTCCAAAATGTCTCAGGCTATACTTTCTGGGTGAGATGTGGCTGAAGACTTGCTTTCCTCTTCTCTTCACCTGCCCCCCTCAGCAATATATCACAGCTTCTATAGCCTACATATAGTAGGGGTATTTAAAATGAGAGTCATCATAAGGTAAAGGGACCCCTGACCATTAGGTCCAGTCGTGACTGACTCTGGGGTTGCGTCGCTCATCTCACTTTATTGGCCAAGGGAGCCGGCATACAGCTTCCAGGTCATGTGGCCAGTATGACTAAGCTGCTTCTGGCAGAGCACGGAAACGCCGTTTACCTTCCTGCCAGAGTGGTACCTATTTATTTACTTGCACTTTGACATGCTTTTGAACTGCTAGGTTGGCAGGAGCAGGGACCGAGCAACGGGAGCTCACCCCATCGCGGGGATTCGAACCGCAGACCTTCTGATCGGCAAGTCCTAGGCTCTGTGGTTTAACCCACAGTACCACCCGCATCCCTGAGAGTCGTCATAGCGTCCTCTTTTTTGCTCTTCAAAATATGACAACTCTATATAGTGGCTGCCAGCTCCAGGTGAAGCCCCAGCTTTGAAAGGTGCCAGCTGTACTCTGAGGCAAGTCCTACTCTGAGGCAAGTCCTATTGTGACTCTGAGGCAAGTCCTATTGTGACGCCCTCCAACAGATCAGCTTGGTGGTGTCGACAGTTAAGCTTAGGTTACTGGTGGGTGTTCTAGGCTCTGCTGTCCTGACCATGTAATCAATGCCATTCACAATGTGGATGTCAGAAATGGAAGGAATGGTAAATGGCAAGTAGCAACCTCCATGGAGGATGTGTCATTCCTCTTCTTTGGGAATTATTGAACGCTTCAGTTCCACAGGCACCATGCACTTAAGTGAAATTGCAAATACCCTATTTTTTGCTCTATCAGACTCACTTTTCCCCTCCTAAATAGTAAGGGGAAATGTGTGTGCGTCTTATGGAGCGAATGCAGGCTATGCAGCTACCTCAGAAGCCAGAACAGCAAGAGGGATTGCTGCTTTCACTGCGCAGCGATCCCTCTTGCTGTTCTGGCTTCTGAGATTCAGATATTTTTTTTCTTGTTTTCCTCCTCCTTGTGGTCTGGTGCATCTTATAGAGCGAAAAATACGGTAATTGGAAAGCCTATTGAAAAAGCATGAAAGCACCTCGTTCCTCTTCCTGCCCGTTTTTGTGATGTTTTTGGGTCACTTCCAGGGTGGGCGTGATGCATACATGCACATTCAAGCACATATTAGACACACCTAAAATGGTTATTGCCTGTATTCATTTACAAAGTCCAGAACAACGGAGGTCAAAGGTACCATAGGGACCTCAAGAACCTCTATTTCCCTTCCATAAGCAACAAACAAACAAACAAACAAACAAACAAACACATTTCTCATAAAATGAAATCAGAAAGTCTTAGAAAGCCCTACCTGCCTTTTCTTTACTTATCAGTAAATCAGTCCATATCCACTGTGCCCTAGAAGGCTGCAGCAATCAATATATGAACCTGAATCCTGACTGCAAAAGACCTGTTGGCGCCATAGCAACATCATCACTATGACGACACAGTGTGAAGGTTAAGCAGGCTTCTTAGGCCTTTGGCAGCTTTGCGGGAGAGATGGTCAGGCAGTCACATGACTGTTGGAATTCCCTCTTCCTTCACAACTGTTAAAATAAGGGTTCCCTGCCTCTCATTGAGGGCCATATTCCCTCAGGAATAATCTGTCAGGGGCTGTGCTCCAGCAATGACCAGGGCTGATAACAACCAGCTCCAGAGCCAAAAAATGATGATGTTGTTGCTACATTTCTTTATATCCTGTTTTTTCCCCTGAACCAGGACTCAAGGCAGCTCGCAACAAATAAAACATGGGTTTGGGGATTTATCTGAAGTAAAATCAATTTGTTGTTACAAGCAACCCTATATCAGGAAGATGTTAATACTTTATGCTTTATGATGTTTTTATATGTTTATGATGTTTTTATATGTGTTAGAAGCTGCTTAGAGTGGCTGGGACAGATTTATTATTATTATTATTATTATTATTATTATTATTATTATTATTATTATTATTATTATTAAATTAAGTAGTGGGTGGACATAGCAGACAACACAGAGATTTCTCCAAGTAGTTCTATATAAGTAAGCTGGAACTGAACTGAACTGAACCAAACAGCACAGCCGGGGGGGGGGGGGCGCTAGGGGACGCATCAGAAGATGGCTGACAATACCATCTCTCCGGCTCACATGAGGTAATTAAGAGGCTGTTATGGGAGTATGCAGCCTCCCTCATTACCCCAAGCGAATGGGGAACGCTGCCTTGCCTGCTGTGCCCATAATACACCCCCAGATTCGAAAGGGGGTGAGGGCACTAGGCACAAAAGCCCTCGTGTGGGTCGGCTCTCCTGGACGCTGTCTCCGATCTGCACAGCTAGTTGCGGGAGCTTTAAATAAACAATCCGGACAGAAGCAAACACACATACTTCGAGTGAAGATCGGGAGTAAAGACTACTAACTAAAGGGATCTCTGGGAAGTGGCACGACGTGCTGGACTTAACAATAAATCAAGAAGAAGAATAAATCAAGAAGAAGATTCATCGAAGGATCGGTATGTCGGAGCGAGATTGAAAAGGAGGGGGGAGAAAAACTTTTCTTTTTTTATCTTATGTGAGTACCCAATAATCCCCCCTAAAAAAAAAGAATCGTTGCAATTACTGATCACAAGCAGGAGGAATAAGAACTGTGTGGAAATTAACTACTACGCAAGGACGTGGCTTATGGGAGCATCGGAAAACGAAAGTAAGTCCTTTGTGACGCAGTCATAAAAAGAGATTTATCATGGCAGGCCCACCCGCAGGAATCCAGGGGGAGGAGGACTATGGCCGTTACTATGTTGGAGTGTGGGTTCGGCTTAGCAGGGCCCCCTGAGAAAATTTATGAGGGAGCGGTGGGCCTGGGGAGATCAGGACAGACTGTCGGAATGTTTTGAACGGAGGTGTTGAAATGGCATCTGTCTACTTTTATGGCTCCTGGATGAGTGTAAAATCCACACAGGACATAACAATGTTTGTTTTCAACCCGCTTGTGGAGATTATCAGAGATCACAAAGAAAGGAATATATGATAACAACAAGAAGATGAGGAAAACAACAAAGAGAAGATTGAACAGAACTGTGAATATTATTTTGACAGAACTGTGTAATTAAAGCAGCAGCAAGAGAGATGATTGGATTCCCTTTCGGAGCTCGAAGCATGGGTACCCCCAACAAAAATTTAAAAAATTTGGCTGTGTAATTTGGAATTATTGTGATTTGGAATTAATGTGATGTGATTGGCCTGTTAATAAAAAATATTTTTAAAAAAATGAACAGCTCAGCCGGCCTGCTTTTATAGGCTGCTGGCTGTCAACATTGTAAAAACAGCAGCCCAGGGTTTCCTGCCTAAATTAACTTACTTGGGCCTGAGAGAAAATTATATACGCAATACCCCCTGGTGGCCAGGGTGAGAACTTCAATACATAACATTATCATCATCATCATCATCATCATCATCATCATCATTAATCCAGACCCTTCCTGTAGTCTTGTTATGTTGTCTTCTTTGTTGAGGTTTATAAGCAGCGGCTGGATGGCCATCTGTCAGGGATTCTTTCGCTATGATTCCTGCATTGTAGGGGGTTGGACTAGATGACCCCTGGGGTCCCTCCCAGCTATACAGTTCTATGATTCTATTACTCCTGGACCTTTTAAAAAGTACCCACCACATACACTCCCATTGGAACAAGTTGTTTCTAATGGATTTTAAATGCAGTCGTACTGTTTGCACTAATTTTCTAGGCAGGAAATGGATTTGATTTTTCACCCCAATAAAAAAATATTGAATTAATGTTTGAACATTTTAATGTGTTTGTTTCCTGCAGCTTGAACTCTCTGCCTGCACCCAATGCTGACTAGAAAAACAGAGTAACAGTATGTGAGCTTCCTCCTTCAATCTGGGATGGTACTCAGACCAGATATAGACCTTGCTGAGAACTAGATTTTACTTGCCCTAATAAAAACTGCTACCCACACTACCTTTGTACTAGATCCATGTGTGCTCTTTCAGGCTGTATCCAGATTGGCATGGCATTTACAAGCATTAGTCGAGAAGACTCAGAATAGGGAAATGTCCACTGTTAGTTCTAATCTTTCTCAGAATCACCATTCTGCTCAAAAATCCCTCCCTATGAGCCCCTAGATCAGGCATGCAAAAACTTTTCCAGTCCCAGGGTCTTATTTTCTTCTGGGCAACCTTCTGGCAAATGCCAGTTTGTGGGTGTAGCCAGAGACAAAAGTGGTCAAAGCAATGGATGTGGATTTTATCTTCCTACAGTAGGCTAGTTTCTACATATTATCCTACACTCTGTCCTCCAGCCTGGGAAGAGGTGAAGTTGGGCCAATGAGGGTATGGCCAATGTGATTTTGGGCGATGTAGGCAGTTGCCCTACACACTGTGCTGAGTGGAGTGGGCCCAAAATTGAGAAGATCCATAACTGAGAAGATCCATTTCGGGGCGCCAAATGTTGGCTTCACACAGAGCGCCATATTACAAAAGCATACCCTTCACCGTCCCACTGATCAAAATCGGGACGCTTGGGTTTTTTGGGATCCTGAGCTCTCGTGGGAGCCAGTTGATTCCCACAAGAGTGCGTGACCAAGAAATGAGTGACTTTGGTTCAGTGCTCTGGTGCAAGCCAATGGACTCGCACCAAAACGCCAGACCCAAAAATGGAAATTCCGGAATCCAATCAGAAGCTGAGACGGCTTCAGTAATTCCAGGATGTCCCACTTAAATCAGGATGACAGAGCAGTATGCAAAAGATTACCAAAGTCCACCCATGGTGTGGCCTGGGGAGATTTCTGAGAACCAGACTGGAAGGCCTTATGGGGCCACATTTGGCCCCACAGCCCTGAGGTTCCCCACCCTGGCCCTAGACCCTCTGGGAGTCCCTGTTTTTTTACTTAGTTGTTTCACAGTGCTGGAAAAACCCTAGAAATATGCGAGAGCTGCCATACGTCCGGACATTATTGGGATTGACTTCAGGGGACAATTTCTGAAATGTGGCACTTTGTCCTGGATCTTTGGCAAATTGTGATTTTTGGCATTTTTGAAAGAAAGAAAAAGCTCTGTAAATCAAGTGTGGGGAGGCTTTGACCCTACAGATGTTCTTGAACTGCAACTGCCATCGGCCCCTGCAAGTTGTAGTTCAGCAGCAACTGGAGAGCCAATGGTTCTCTACACATGCAGTAAAGGAAAGCCTCTTAATAGAGTTGCCCACAGGTTTGATTGAAAAGGAAAGCTTTAGCGTGTCAGGCATATTATGAAACGTATTCCAAAAATTAAATAAATGTGTTTTTCATAGTTCAAGGATTTAGAATAGTCAACAAGTTTATAGAGTAAAAGCTAAGGTCAAGGAGTGTAAGGGTGGTTTTGTAACAGTGCAAGCTGGTATAGGAAAATGTCAACACATGACTGGTAGGGATCCTAGGATAAACGTCCTATAAAAGGTCCCATGTTAGTCTGTGCAGGAACTCTCTCTCTCACTCCCTCATCCTTTTATTCCTCAGGCTCTCCTACCATCTGAGACCATCTACACACAGCTTTAGGCTCTGGTAAGAAGTTGCCCACTAACTGGCTTGATCCACCAGTCTAGTAAGGTTTTGTGCTATGGTGGGATATGTTACTTAATATTTACAAAGTTGTTCGATTATTAGACTATGGAGATGCATGTTTGAAGTTGTTGTTGTTGTTGTGTTGTTGTTTAGTCGTTTAGTCATGTCCAACTCTTCGTGACCCCATGGACCAGAGCATGCCAGGCATTCTGTCTTCCACTGCCTCCCGCAGTTTGGTCAAACTCATGCTGGTAGCTTCGAGAACACTGTCCAAACATCTCTTTTTTCCCCCAATTCTTTTTATTAATTTTCAGTAACCAAACAACAAAGAAAAAGAAAAACAAATAAACACACCAAAGAAAAAAGAAAGCATCAATCAAAACACAAAGGATAAACAGACCAAAAGACAGACATTAATTAACAACAAATAATGGTTGACTTCCCTCCATCTCGGTTTTAGGTTATGTAAAATAACAGTTCCATTCTGCAGTTTTCATTTTGTATCATCTACACATCGCAAGGATTATGTTAAACCTACTGTGATTTTTAAATCTCTAGAATTTGTTTCCATATATGTTATAAATTTGGTCCAATCGTCAATAAACTTTGTCCATTTCTGCTGTCTGATATTCTGCGTCATTTTGGCCAATTCTATATATTCAAATAATTTAATTTGCCAACTGTCCAACCATCTCATCCTCTGTCATCCCCTTCTCCTTGTGCCCTCCATCTTTCCCAGCATCAGGGTCTTTTCCAGGGAGTCTTCTCTTCTCATGAGGTGGCCAAAGTATTGGAGCCTCAGCTTCACAATCTGTCCTTCCAGGGCTGATTTTCTTAAGAATGGATAGGTTTGATCTTCTTGCAGTCCACGGGACTCTCAAGAGTTTCCAGTATGATGGAGCAAAACCAATGATTTTTAAAATGGTGAAGAAAGCAATGG